ACCTGTCTAACACGAAATAGGTTTCTTCTTATTTGTTTCACTATGTAAGAATAAATAAATTAAATTAAAACAGTTATATACCGTATCAGCATAAGTCTCTCGAGGCGCCCTTAATGCAGCGTCAGATGCCGAAAGCGCCGTCAGTTTTCTCTTTCACTTTCTAGTGAATTGACGTTCATAACAAGAGTTATGCCGGTGAACGTCAATTCACTAGAAAACTGACGGCGCTTTCAAAGGATTTGACAAACCGCACGTTGTTTGTGTGATATCCATTGGCTCGCCTTCATGGTTATGGAATTTCATTTAGATGCCATTAGTTTTTCAGCTTAACAACAATTTCAACCAACGATATAAAAACAAAAAGGAAACAAAAACATTTAAATAATAACAAACTTCAAAATACATTGATTTGTCTATTTCTCCACATAAATGCAAGGTCTGTGCATGAAATCACCGTGATTTGAAAACCATCCCCCCCCAATAGGCTAAATAAAACACCTTTTAAAATATGCAACTTAAATGACCAGTTTGCTGTAGTATCCCAGATGCGTGCAGATTTAATGATCATAGACTCGCGTTCGTCTTTCGACTATCCAGCAGTTGAACGCGGTCAGACCCAACCGAGGTAATATCTGCCGATGGGGATGTTGATTATAAACACCCCTTCATACAAGAAAACGAAAATTGTTCATGCATCGATATGCGAGCTCATTTTTAGAGTGTCACCCCTCGCCACTGACTACCATCAGTCCCTCTGGATGCTGTGCCTATGAATGCCAACTGTCTGTCCGAAGCCTCAATATGTACTGCACTAAGTGCGTGTTGTGACCCATTTAAACATAAAAAAATATATAAATCAAAAATTAAATATAAATATATATTATACCCAAATAATTATAAATCAAATTAATTACAAAAAAATAGTTGAAATCAAAGTGTAAAAAAGAGAATATTAAGCGCAAAGTCATACCTGAGTATTGATGTTTCTCTCTCTGTGTGTCTTCAGCCCTCTTCCAGAGGTACAAGTAGCAAATGAAGGGTTTCTGCTGGTCTTTATATAGACACATAGGCTACCTTGAAATCACACCACAGCAGTTCCTTGAAATCACATGACAAAACAGAAAGTGAAAAAGAGAGACACTTTCATTTTTACTTTCTTATATGTCATGTGACATAGGAACAAAGATATTGATTGATATGTATATATGTATAAGCTAGCAGATAACTTTCCTTTGTTCTTGTTATCCTAAGAATAAAATGCAGACCTACTTTTGTCTTTATTTCAACAGTTTAAAGCAATTTTTCTACTATAGATATAAATGTAACCTTAACGCCATGTATATTTTATTGCATATATGAACATTATTCATTCAAATGTCAGCGCTCTTAACCACAGTCATTACCTGAATATATTAATAAATGACAATTAACTTTGGATATGAATAGATACACAAAGAAGTAAAACAGAAATAAATAAAAACAGAAAATAGATGCGATGAAGACCAAATTCCAGTGAAATATCTTCACAATCCTCTGATGCCTTTAAGGCCTAAGTGTGAGTTTCTCTCTGCAGATGACAAGGTTGTGGGATGTGATGCATCTGAAATACATAATTGAGTGTAGAGTTACAGTGTGTCTCCTTCCTTTTGTTTAAGTAAAAACAGGTATGTTCACGAAAGCCAAATGTAGAAATGTTAAAAGGAAAAAGTGATCCCAAGTCATGGGATAGGTTTAATGGTTAACATTTTTTTTTTTTTTACGAATTAACCATTTAATTAACCCATTTATTTATTTATTTGCATTTTTTATTTTTATTTAATGCATCAATAATAAAATGAAATAATTTATATATTTAAATACATTTTTGGGCCGCTTTCAGTTTCTATAAAACTTTTAGACGCCGTTTCAACAGAAACTAGCCACTAGGTGACACTCATGGCCCATTAATGATTTCTTATCTAAAGGACACTTACTTGACCTGACACAACACAAACTGAGATCCCTTTTTTAAATTGAAAACATTATACAAAGGATATAGACGGCTTTTAAACAATTACAGACAGGGTATACATTGCTTTTGACATCAGCACAAACACATGGTATAACACCGGACAGGGGAGCCGGACACATCCATTCCACTCCTCCCATGTTCCTGTTTGGAAAATAATGGAGCATATTCAAAATAATTTACTCAAATCTAAATCTTGTCTCAAATCAAACATACCCAATGCATGAAATACGAACACATGTGCACAATTCTTCTCACAACACCGCTGAATAAATGCTGCTCATCTAGACTGTTGTAGTCCAGAGGTGTAAAGTATTGGAGTAAATGTAATTAGTTACTGTACTTGAGTATCTTTTAGGGTACTTTGTCGTTGTACTGAGTATCAAAGATATTAGCAACTTTTACTCTTTACTCCACTACATTTGAAATGAGTGTTGCAGTTACACATTACATTTTGCATGGACCTAGCTTTTTCTGCAGCAGTTTCCATTAAATACCTGCACATAGATCCTTGCCTCTGCCTGTTTTCTGCAGCTTCTCCACATCGTTACAGTTTTTCACTGTCAAATCTCTTTGACTAGTGCATCTTTGAGCCTATATTTAGTATAAGTAAAATACTTAAGTACTGTTCAAATCAGATACTCGAAGACTTTTACTCAAGTTGTTTTGGAATTGGTGACTTGTAACGTGTAGTGGAGTAATTTTCACTGTATGGTATCTGTACTTTTACTCAAGTATGGCTTTTAGGTACTCTTTACACCTCTGTTGTAGTCTAATAGGCCTTATAGCTAGCAGGAATGGAAACAGTGCAATGTCAGTTTGTTGAATGAACCCCGTGACCTGATCATCCATTAGTGGCATGACAGATTCTTAGCTCAGCTCATTGTTTTGTTGGCTCTGTGCAGTATAAGGATAATAAAGGATATGCGTAGAGCTTGTAGCCCCACTTATTTGGCTTGTCTTTGTGGTACTGCGTTAGGCTATATGGTTGCTCTGTCAAACCTCACTCATTGTAGTAAGAGGCCATGGTCATATCGTTTTTAATAAATCATTTAGAGTATATGTGTATATGATTAAAAAAGTTAGACCAGATTTCGATAGATTGATTGCATCATGGACAAATAAATAAGAGGTTAATGGGGCAACTCACCCCCACATGGCCAAAGTCACAGCAGGTTCTGCTTATCAGAGTTCAGCAAATAGTTGCCGTCCAAATGATGCAAAAAAAAAGTGCCTCACTTTTCATTGGCTGTTTGGAGGTGAACTTTACCTTCAGTTTACTCAGTTTGGATAACACATTGATTTTTTTTTCATCTGTCAGTGCTGACCACTCACTTTTAACACCCCCACAATTAAAAAACAAAACAACAACTTTGTTTTATTGCATATTTTATGAATATCACCACTTTTGTGTTCCAAACTGGTTGACAATGCACTTCAGTCTTTGAAACAATTGTTGTATGGATTTATGTATGATCGTATGCTTGTATGTGTTTTCTGTGATAATCAGTATTATGCAACAGGTGCTGTCCATAAAGCTCATTCTTGTTTCTAATTTCACAGTTCATAGACAAATAATTGTAAGATTTTTAAACCATTTTGTCTGTGGTGTTACATATAGTTAAACGTATTGAGAGCCAGTAACACCACTGATAGACAGTAAATTGACTTTAAACACAAATATATTGTGTAGAAACTTTATTACTAATTAAAACTTGACCCCATTAAAGTCTGTCCTTTACAACAATTCTATTACTGTTAAACACTGCAAAAAATGGCTTATCTTACTTAGTTTTTTTTGTCTTGTTTCTAGTCAAAATGCACTTAATTTCGTTTTTCCCCCCCGGAAACAAGACTAAACATCTTAAGTCATTTTGATTATCTAGTAAAAGTATCTTGATTTAAGAATTTTAGTTATTTTGACTAGAAACAAGACAAAAATACTAAGTAAGATAAGCCATTTTTTTTTTGCAGTGAAGCAACTGTAGCCTCAAGAGTCCAAAGTCAGCGCTTGATTGCAAAATAGATTAACATGGACTACAGACCACTGATAGGCATATGTTGGATGAAATGGAAATAAAATCAAGTTTATATTGATTTCTAATGTCTTTCCAGTGGATTCATCTGCAACATCAATGCTAGTTTTTTTGAAATACCTTCATTTAAGGACTTTTGACCACATCATTTAATTCAATTGGCACAGTGAATAATATATATATATATATATTTAAAAAAAATCAATTGACAAAGCGTTTGTATATTGTGCCAACGCAACATGAAATTAATGACACTTATTTAATGTTAAATATAAAATAATATATGATCAAATTATCTTCTATTTCAATTAACGTCGAAATAGTATACATGCATTGTGTAAAAGAAGCAAAACCCATACAACTCTACTAATCTGCACGATCTAAGAGACTATCATAAAGAACTGTAAATATTAGAGTTATAAAGTGTACACACTACTGGTCAACAGTTTGGAATAATTAAGATTTTTAGAATTTTTTTTAGTATCTTATTATGTATTTTTAAAATGCTTTTTTTTTTCCCCAGCAAGGATGCATTAACTTGATCAAAAGTGACAGTACATACAAAATTGCAAATAAATGCTGTTCTTTTGAACTGGCTATTCAGCTAAGAATCCTGAACAAAATGTGTCACAGTTTCAAAACTATTAAGCAGCCAAAACGCTTTTCAAAATGTATTATAATAAGAACCAATTGAGCATTAAATCTGCATATCAGAATTATTTCTGAAGGATTATGTGACACATGATGCAGTATGCCCCATTAATCATAATCCAGAAACTAATTCAAACAAAACAGTGTCAAGGTGAGTTCTGCTAATAGTTAGCGTGAGTTAACAATCACCTCTGACATGACACTCCCTCACGTCCCTCTTTTATATTTGTTTTAGATATCATTTACATTGGCAAGCATCTCTGGCACTAAATTGTTTGCTTATATCCCCCTGCAGTGTATGTTATAAAGGTCTGCACAAGCGAGGGGGACTTTTTCTTGGTTGAAGATTTATCGTTCGTGTCCCTGTGCAGCATGAGAGAGCTGGTGATATTAGCAGCTGTGGTCTCGGCTCTACACGCGGCCAGCCTCCCGACAGACACTGATGTGCAATATGAGTGCCAGGAAGATCAGGACAACATTGCTACATTAGAAGCTGAGAGCTTCATTAATGACCATCACCGCCATGGATACAAATTCAAATTCGTCTCAAACATTTCCTGTGGATGTTTCATATCTACATAAGGTGTAAAAGAGTGATTACAACCACAGAAAAATAAGATAAATTAAAGGAAAAATGTAAAAGAAAAGTGATGTGCAAATGCTGAAAATTGTCTTGTTTCTGTGCAGACTGATCCTTGTGAGGTCATCTTGGGAATAACTCTAGAGGAAACTGAGTGCCACATTGTGAATCCCAAACCTTTAGATCAGTGTAACACTAGAATGGAAAGAGAGACGGTGAGATGAACATCACAGATCTTTCAAACTCTAATTTCAGAAATACTGCCTTTTATTGCTCCGAATAGAGTGACTTTTGAGTTGTGCATCCATTTAACAGCCTTTTAATGTCTCTCTTAAAGAAAGTGACAGCTAAATGTAATGTGACGGTCTCCAGTGTTGAGGGAAAGGCAGCTGTGAAGCGCTACATCTGTGACACCGAACCAGGTAAACAAATCAATTTGAATTATTTTCTTTAGAAACTTGACATATCTAGCCTTTCAAATAACTTAATGTTTAAGTTTACTTTGTCAAAGAGTACGGTATTTAACTGTAAATTTAAGTTAAAACCTAAAATGTTGCTACCGTATTTTTTACGGTAAAATTCCGGCAACCACAGCAGCCGGTTTTTTACTGTAAATTTTACGGAAGTTTTTTTACAGTGTAGTGCAACTCCTGTAAGTTACGATTCACATCGTGATTGTGTTTTGTCCCAGCTTCACATGAAATACTTGTGACAAAATGCCCTGACTGCCCCAGTCTGCTGCCCTTGCATGACCCGAAGGCTCTGGAAAGTGTGAAAACTGCAACTCATTAAGGCCTTGATATACTCATGGCGAAGTTCTTCCAAGAAAACAGCAGTTAATAAGGTATCTGTTCATAGCAATGTGGATATGTTTGGTAGTTCTTTTGCAGAAAGTTACGCTTGGGAAGCTGCTTCAAAACTTTAAAATGAACTCCAAACGAACTTCCATATTCCACTTTGAATACTGATATTGACCCAGACACCGAACTGATGTAAAAAAAACTAGGGGCAACAAAAGCTGACTGTCATTGCCTCAAAAAGCCAAAAAGTTGAGCTTGAACTCACCGCAAAGACTACAGCCAACAGACAACCAGCATGTACCTGTATGTTCTGTGCCCCCAATAGTGCAATGTCAAGATAATCCATTATAAATTAAGTGGATTTATTATGGTATTCATTGTGTGTTATATGTAATCATACTCTTAAAAGTTATAACCACAAATGCGTAAGTATTATAATGTATTATAAATGTTATGATTATTTATGAGATGATACAACATATTATTAAGCTTTTTTTTAATAATGCATTATGCATTAATTATAATGCTTTAAGAAAACCCTTATAATGTATTATAAATACAGGCTTCATAGAAAGTGTTACCGGATTGACAAACAATTGAGCAAAGAAGAGAGAACATTCAGTTTGTGGGTTTTGCTCTTATATACTTAAATTTGGAGTTAGATGTCAGTAACATGATTATTCTGTTTGGTTCTCTCTCTCTCTACAACCCCAACAGTGCATAAGTGTTAAATCAGAAATATATATTACAGAGTTAAACATGTTAAAGCAAATGTTTCTTATTTAATTCTCCCTCTCTCTCTCTCTTTTTTTTTAATCTCTCTCAGGAGTTGAAGCCTACAGCCTTTCTGTCCATACAGCAACTGATGGAAAAGGGGAGAGGTTCGACTGCAGTGAAGAAGTCTTCAGGACGTCATTTTTTTATGATGTTGTATTACGTGTTATTGCAAAAATGAGTATATACAGTATATAAATATGCATTCTTGAATCATTCTTGAGTCTTGTGTCTTGCCTCTCTACAAACTTTTAAATATCTGTCTGTAATTTAGTGACTGCAAATGCTGATTTCATTCGATTCCATCTTTATTATACCTGATAATGAGCTAGTTAAATTTAAGGGGGCTAATCAATATACAGTATATTTCAAGACACTAAGACTTAAGGTACTCCACTTTTTCAGTTGTTTAAAGACTGAAATACATTTTTCATTTATATTTTAAGTGTAAATTCATTTAAATTTAAAATTGTTAACTCAACGCAGGTATTACACACTTTGTAATTAACATCTGATGCATTTATAAATCAAAAATCAAAATTGAAATAAAAAAAATATGTTCCTGAGATTCAATATCTTTAACAACATGTACAAACATTACTACAAACTAAACCACCAGGGTCCTAGAAATGCGGTCCTGAAACTGCAGCCTCCGCTATATTATCCACTTCGGTAGGTGGCGCTGTTACAAAAGAACAGGGTCCTAGAACTGCGGTCCTGAAACTGCATGATGAACACCTGCTGTTATTGAGAATTACAGAGGATCAGATGTTGATGTTTTATTGGTTAAAATGATGCTACCATCATGGAGATCAGTGTTTGCTTTAGTTGTGCTCTTGACCCTTGACTTCTTGTGTTAGATTACATTGTGCAGCAATGTGGACAGTGGTGACAATAATTATTCACGCTGCAGTGCATGAGGAGAGGTTTTACTATGGTGTTACCCTGCATGCATTGCAGCATGAAGCATTTTGTTGACTGTCACCATTGTTGAGATTCATATGCTGGTTCTTGATGTGTGCGGTAGGTGGCGCTGTTACAAAAGAACAGGGTCCTAGAACTGCGGTCCTGAAACTGCATGATGAACACCTGCTGTTATTGAGAATTACAGAGGATCAGATGTTGATGTTTTATTGGTTAAAATGATGCTACCATCATGGAGATCAGTGTTTGCTTTAGTTGTGCTCTTGACCCTTGACTTCTTGTGTTAGATTACATTGTGCAGCAATGTGGACAGTGGTGACAATAATTATTCACGCTGCAGTGCATGAGGAGAGGTTTTACTATGGTGTTACCCTGCATGCATTGCAGCATGAAGCATTTTGTTGACTGTCACCATTGTTGAGATTCATATGCTGGTTCTTGATGTGTGTTTAACTATTAGAATAGCAATTTCATTGCATGCTGTAGTTGAACAAGGTCGGATATTCAAGCTCTGAACCTATTAAAAAAATAAGCACCATTGAATCTGCTGATGAGATTTTTATGTTATTAGATACACATTTTGCTATGACTTCTTCATCACCAACAAGCGAGATAGTAGTACTTGATCTTGCCTTGCTCTGTCACAGGAGCTGTGCTTTCCAAACACAGTTACAGCAGCTGAAGAAAAGCTTACACAAGAAGTACAGGGACCAAGATCCCAAGTAAAGCAAACACTGCAAATGAAACAAATATCAACATCTAAACATCTATTGATTCTCAATAAGAGCTTCTCTAGAAAGTCAGTCTGGTTAGTAATAAGTGAAGCAGGTGATGCTGCTTGTGGAGTTGTTAAACATCCTCTGCTGAGATCTTCAGAGATTTAATGTGTTTTATTTCAGTTGATTTTACCAAATGCTTATTTGATCATTTAATTTGATCATTCATCTCGTGAACTTCAACACTACTTTCGTGTTTCTTTTAACATTGTGTGGTTAATTGTCTAAAGGTGTAGCTGTGCGTTTTACTGCCTATTGATGGAGCCGTGGCTGAGTTGTTGTTGTTTTTTTGGCTTTTTTATGGCTCAGTTTTGGGGTTTCTGGTTAAAGGCTGGTCTCTATGTGGTTTACTGAAGGCTGAGATTGGGTAGCACTATTAAAACTTGTTCTGGCCCAGTTCAGGGCTGGTTATAAGTTACTATTCGGCTGAGATTTCGGCCAGAGCTGGGCCAGAAGACAATTGCTATGTGGGTTAAAGCAAGAACTGCACAGGTTCACTTTTTGCAGTGTACAAGATGAGCAGCATTTATTCAGCGTAGCTGTGAGAAGAATTGTGCACGTGTTCGTATTTTATTCATTGAATTGGGTATGTTTGATTTGAGACAAGATTTAGATTTGAATAAATTATTTTGAATATGCCCCATTATTTTCCAAACAGGTCATTGAATTGGGTATGTTTGATTTGAGACAAGATTTAGATTTGAATAAATTATTTTGAATATGCCCCATTATTTTCCAAACAAGAACATGGGAGGAGTGGAATGGATGTGTCCGGCTCCCCTGTCTGGTGTTATACCATGTGTTTGTATTGACATCAAAAGCAATGTATACCCACTTTTAATGGTTTAAAAGCCATCTATATCCTTTGTATAATGTTTTCAATTTAAAAAAGGGATATCAGTTTGTGTTGTCACATAAAGTGCTGTGTCCTTTAGATTAGGAATCATTAATGGGCCATGAGTGTCACCTAGTGACTTCTGCTGAAACAGCTGCTAAAAGTTTTATAGAAACTGAAAGCAGCCCAAAAATTAATTTAAATATATTGATATAATTATTAAATTTTATTATTAATGCGTTAAATAAAAAAATGCAAATAAATAAATAAATGGGTTAATTAAATGGTTAATTCATTAAAATAAATAACATTTTCAACCATTAAACCTATCCCATGGCTTTGTCACTTTTTCATTTTAACTTTGTGAATAGCTCACATATTGTCCATTTTTGCTACATTTGGCTTTCGTGAACATTCCCATTTTTACTTAAACAAATGGAAGGAGACACACTGTAACTCTAAACTCAATTGTGTATTTCAGATGCGTCACATCCCACAACCTTGTCATCTGCAGAGAGAAACTGACACTCACTCACACCAAAATGATGGAGGCCTTAAAGACAGCAGAGGATTGTGAAGATATTTCACTGGAATTTGGTCTTCATCACATCTATTTTCTGTTTTGTGTTTTACTTCTTTGTGTATTTTAATCAATTGTCATTTATTCATATATTCAGGTAATGACTGTGGTTAAGAGCGCTGACATTTGAATGAATAATGTTCATATATGCAATAAATATACATGGAGTTATTTATATTTATAGTAGAACAATTGCTTTAAACTGTTGAAATAAAGACAAAAGTAGGTCTGCATTTTATTCTTAGGATAACAAGAACAAAGGAAAGTTCTCTGCTAGCTTATACATATATACATGTCAATCAATATCTTTGTTCCTATAAGTCACATGACATATAAGAAAGTAAAAATGAAAGTGTCTCTTTTTAACTTTCTGTTTTGTCATGTGATTTCAAGGAACTGCTGTGGCGTGATTTCAAGGCAGCCTATGTGTCTATATAAAGACCAGCAGCAAACCTTCATTTGCTACTTGTACCTCTGGAAGAGGGCTGATAACACACAGAGAGAGAAACATCAATACTCAGGTATGACTCTGCGCTTAATATTCTCTTTTTTACACTTTGATTTCAACTATTTTTTTGTAATTAATTTGATTTATAATTATTTGGGTATAATATATATTTATATTTAATTTTTGATTTATATATTTAGCGCCGCAGATGTGTGATAATTTGACGATGTGTGAATCCAGGTTCTGTTGTTCTGTATGCTGCTGTTTGCACGTTAAAATAAACCAGTGAAAAACATATATGTTTTTTTTTTTTTTTTTAATGGGTCACAACACGCACTTAGTGCAGTACATATTGACAGGCTTCGGACAGACAATTGGCATTCATAGGCACAGCATCTAGTGGGACTGATGGTAGTCAGTGGCGAGGGGTGACGCTCCAAAAATGAGCTTGCATATCCATGTATGAACAATTTTCTTTTTTTTTTTTTTTGTATGGAGTGGTGTTTATAATCAACATCCCCATCTGCAGATATGACCTCGGTTGGCTCTGTAAGTGAACCGCAGAACGGCAGTTGACTTCTGAATCTGAATCTGTGATTAATTAAATCTGCACGCATCTGATATACTAAAGCAAACTGGTAATTTAAGCTGCATATTCTAAAAGATGTAATTTATAAAAAAATAAAAAAAGGTTTTCAAATCATGGTGATTTCATGAACAGACCTTGCATTTATGTGGAGAAATAGCCAAATCAATGTACTATATTGAAGTCTGAAATTATTTAAATGTTTTTGTTTCCTATTTATTTTCATATGGTTGAAATTTTTGTTAAGCTGAAAAACTAACTGGAAAGCAAGATGGCATCTAAATGAAATGCCATAACCATGAAGGCGAGCCAATGGATATCACACAAACAACGTGCGGACTTTGCGCAAGAGTTACGCCGGTGAACGTCAGTCAATTCACTAGAAAGTGAAAGTGAAAACTAATGGCGATTTCAGCATCTGACGCTACATTAAGGGCACATATTCTCTCAGAGACAACGAGAGACGAATCTACTTTAACATATGCTGATATGGTATATAACTGTTTTAATTTATTTTATTCCCTTAATATTTCTCTGTGGCCCTTACATGGTAAAACAAATGAGAAGAAACCTTTCGTGTTAACAGGTTTTTTTTGGAAAAAGTTTGTGCTTCAGATAAAGCTTCTGTTAATTTTCATTGATGACTGCAGTGTTAATAATTTTAATTATGGGCCTATTTATTTTAAAAGACGATTTTTTTTTTTTTTACATATTGAGTGAGGTGTAAGCTAATAGCCTATAGCAGGGATCCTCAAATCTGGCCCACGAGATCCACTTTCCTGATGTCGGTCAGTGAGGGAAGCTGTGTTTTTATAATGTTCTGCAATGACTTCCTCACTCTCTCCAGAGCATAGTGCATCAGTCATAGTGCAGCTTTTAAACCACACCAGGATGTTGTAAGTGATAATATTCTCCACGGAGCATTTGTAAAAAGACAGCAGCAATTCCTGTGACAAGTTGACTCTCCTCAGTGACCTAAGTAAGTAGTCTCTGCATGATGGGAGCCATGGATGAGTTTTGATTGGCTACAACATTCTTTTTTGATGGTCACCGTTGTTGTGATTCTCACACTGATTCTTGATGTCTGTGTGTCTGAATTTTAAAGTTTTTTTTATTTTTTTATTTATTATTTTGATCAAAAAAAGTTTAAAAAATATATGTCTGACTATAGGTATTATATTGTTCACAGGGTTGATGTAACCAATAAAGAAAACCTAACTCAGTTATTCAGGTCACTACATAAAGGTTATATCGAAACATAATCAAGGCCACAGTTACTGCAGCCAAAAAATTAAGGGTCAAGATCCCAACTAATGCAAACACTGATCACGATGTGCTTCAGAATACACTTAATTTATGAAATATGCTTTAAAAAACTGCCCTTCTTCTGTTAGGAGTACACACCCATTTATTCCATCAATATCAGATTTACTAAATACTATTAATGTTTTGTGGCGTGAGACCTGACCTGTATAGTATTTACATTTCTCTCCAGTGAAATAATGACAGATCCAAATCCAGATGATGCTCTGGACATCCTCCCTGGTGAAGATGAGGAGAACAGCACAGGAAACAGCTGCAGATCCTCACTGAAATGGCCTCAGTCAATGTTGTTCTGCTACCACAACTTCAGAAGAATGACAGCAGTATGATAAAAGTTCAAGAATTCTACAAGGACTCAAAGCCACTCATTTGTCTTCTTACTGAGAATGCTTCAGCTCTCATTGAGACACGGAAAGGAAAATACAAGATTGGTCTAAAAAACAGAAATCAGTCAGATGTATCTGAAGAGCTCAGAAGAGCTATAAATGCTTGTGTCGCAGAACCACCTTCCACTTTCAGACTTGAAGATGTGTCCAAACACTCAGACATCAGAGTAGATGCGGAAGATGATGATGACTGCAGGAGAGCAAGAGAAAAAGATGAAGTCTGTGATGCAGAATGTTTCAGTGACGTCATTACATTTGATGTTCAGAAAGATGTGAAGTATTTTGCTCAGCTCTGGGAGGGCAGTCCGCCCATGGCTCCACCAAACCCAAACTACTGTGAGAACATTCAAGACCTGAAGAAAACTATAATAACTCATGCATCAAAATCACATGGAATGATGATGAAAGAATTCAAAGTTCGTATTAATGATCTCTGGGAAGCTTTACTGAATGAACGATTCGTCTTCAGCTTCAGAAATTCTCTGGAGATTTCAGCTTACAGGAAACTGGAGACTGAATACAGCAGGTGGTCCTGGAGGCTTCGCCGTGCCATGCTGGAAACTGAGAACAAACTGCACAACCAAATAGAAAATGAAGCAATTCATGAGGTTGAGGAAACTGATCTTCACAAAGAGTTGAAGAAGACAAGTGAAGAAGTGAAAAAATCAGTGTCAGAATTCTTTGAGAAAGACGCAGATGCAAATATACTGATTCAGTGGAAAACATCATTTGACATTAAAATCAAAGAGCTACAGGAAAGCATTGTAAGAGAAACAAAGAGGAAATTAAATGAGATTCTTAAGCAGCGAGACCTGAAGAAAGAGATTGATGCTCAGAGGACACATCATGAAAACACTCTCTTTGAAAAGAGCAAAGAACTCGCCTTAAAACGCAAAGACAAAGCAAATGATGAAGAAACACTAAAGAAAGAGTTTGGTTTGTTTTGGAACCAGTGGATGAAGACAATCAGCAGAGACACTCAAACAACAAGAGACATTGACATAATGAGAGATATGAGAGAGATCCTCGGTGACATCTATGAAAGTATTAATGCAGACCACCGGAAGGACAGCAGGGATATTATATCTGTGCAGAGTTATTCAGATTATGTACAGTTAAAGAAATCAAGCGAATTTTTCACAAATGCCTGCAGAGTAGTTAAAAATCTGCTGGGTCGCAATCTCTCTGAGGAGGATGAAGCCCAAATAAGATCATTAGTCAATGATGTTGTTCAGCAGACAGACAAAATGATTCAGTCTTTTAACATCTCAAAGATGGGCTACAACATCAGCTACATTCAACAACTCATAGATTACATCAAAGCAAGAGTAATAGAACTTTGTGCATCAGAACGTGTCAGACATCACAGCTGGAGACAAAAACATGGAGGGAAGGAGACGACTGCAGGAGAAACTGGATGAGATGACAAAACTCGCTGCTAAAGATGAAGTCTGTGATGCAGAATGTTTCAGTGACGTCATTACATTTGATGTTCAGAAAGATGTGAAGTATTTTGCTCAGCTCTGGGAGGGCAGTCCGCCCATGGCTCCACCAAACCCAAACTACTGTGAGAACATTCAAGACCTGAAGAAAACTATAATAACTCATGCATCAAAATCACATGGAATGATGATGAAAGAATTCAAAGTTCGTATTAATGATCTCTGGGAAGCTTTACTGAATGAACGATTCGTCTTCAGCTTCAGAAATTCTCTGGAGATTTCAGCTTACAGGAAACTGGAGACTGAATACAGCAGGTGGTCCTGGAGGCTTCGCCGTGCCATGCTGGAAACTGAGAACAAACTGCACAACCAAATAGAAAATGAAGCAATTCATGAGGTTGAGGAAACTGATCTTCACAAAGAGTTGAAGAAGACAAGTGAAGAAGTGAAAAAATCAGTGTCAGAATTCTTTGAGAAAGACGCAGATGCAAATATACTGATTCAGTGGAAAACATCATTTGACATTAAAATCAAAGAGCTACAGGAAAGCATTGTAAGAGAAACAAAGAGGAAATTAAATGAGATTCTTAAGCAGCGAGACCTGAAGAAAGAGATTGATGCTCAGAGGACACATCATGAAAACACTCTCTTTGAAAAGAGCAAAGAACTCGCCTTAAAACGCAAAGACAAAGCAAATGATGAAGAAACACTAAAGAAAGAGTTTGGTTTGTTTTGGAACCAGTGGATGAAGACAATCAGCAGAGACACTCAAACAACAAGAGACATTGACATAATGAGAGATATGAGAGAGATCCTCGGTGACATCTATGAAAGTATTAATGCAGACCACCGGAAGGACAGCAGGGATATTATATCTGTGCAGAGTTATTCAGATTATGTACAGTTAAAGAAATCAAGCGAATTTTTCACAAATGCCTGCAGAGTAGTTAAAAATCTGCTGGGTCGCAATCTCTCTGAGGAGGATGAAGCCCAAATAAGATCATTAGTCAATGATGTTGTTCAGCAGACAGACAAAATGATTCAGTCTTTTAACATCTCAAAGATGGGCTACAACATCAGCTACATTCAACAACTCATAGATTACATCAAAGCAAGAGTAATAGAACATGAGGAAGGACCAGTTAAATATGTGTTCAAGAATGAATTCTTCATGGACTTGGTTCTTTCCATCTGTAAGAGAGCAAATAAGATGATCACTGAGCAACACAGAATGTTCAAAGAGGCCAATGATCCTGAAATATATGTTAAGAAGAAGAGAGAAGAGTATTATAGTATTTTCCAGAAATACTGTCATGGAGCAACATCAGCTGCCATTTTTGGTGAGATCATCTGTCAGAAACTCAAAGAACCCATTGAACAGAGTGTCTACAAGAAGACTGCCAGAGAGTTAGCAAATGATATGAGAACAGACTGTCCATCACTGAATGGAAACAGGTCAAATCTTGAGAAACACATCCTGAAGAAACTGGCAGAAGAGGAGAATTTTAACAAGTACATGAACTATGTTCATAACACAAGAGATCACTTCAGTGGTTTCATAAGAGATGAAGTCAGTCGGTACATCACTGATACGTTCAATGTCCGTGTTTTACCAAAGATGAAGAAGAACATTAAACTCCTGCAGCAAAAGATCATGGAAGCAGCACATGAATCTACTGAACATGTTCGAGTGAACAGAGGAGATGAATCTACTGAACATGTTCGAGTGAACAGAGGAGATGCTGGTTTGTGGTTGAAGAGTTTCACACAGCAGCTCTCAAAAGAGCTGATCTTCTCTGAAAAGGACCTCAGTGGAGTCAAACACGATGATGTTGATGATTTCAAACTCCTAGAAGATGTGATAAAGAGAGAACTTCCTTCTATAATGTCAAACATCAGCAGTAGATTCGACACAAATACTTTTCCAGTAAAGCTGGACTATAAAGACAGACCAGATCAGCTTCTGATTGATGACTTATGTCAGTGCTGTTGGGATCAGTGTCCATTCTGTGGAGCCATCTGCACCAACACCATAGAAAACCATGATGAAGATCACAGTGCTGTTTTCCATGGAGTGAAAGGAGTAAATGGGACCGCGTTCAAGGATACAACAAACTTCTGTGTTTGGATCTGCACAACATCAGTGTCAAGCAGTGATCGATCTTTTTATCTCCGTGCCGATGATAAAACATTCCTATACAGGGAATACAGAAAAGCAGGAGGAGTTTTTGCTAAGTGGAGCATCACCCCTGATCTCTCCGAACTGCCCTACTGGAAGTGGGTTGTGTGCAGATTCCAGAGAGATCTTGAAAAATACTACAAAAATACATTTGATGGTTATGGTAAGATCCCAGATGAATGGAGAAAACACTTAAAAAAGGATGCTACGGAGAGTTTGAATAAATACATCTAATTTAACAAGTAAAGTGATTTTGTTTAGGTCTAAGATATACAGAACAGAGATTGAAATGATTTTGTTCCTGACTTGACTTAAGTGAGTTTGAAATCATCTAAACTTCAGCTAACAGAATACATTAGAGGAGTGGTTTAGACTGTCTCCATTGTCTTGCCCATTTTAAACACAAAAGCATTGAAATATAATTCCATCTTTCCATCACCATTTTCCTTTAGGGGCTCCATACCTTTAGGGCTTACATTGCAAGTTTAATAGCAAAAATAAATACATTTATATATACAAATATTATAATGAGCATTTAACTATCATACTCATGTTGCACATGCCATGTTCTGACTGTAAGAGGCAAATTTCTTGCTTTGTAGGATGTCAGAACTCAGTTGCAGAATTAATCTTTATATGAATGCATGAGCTATATAAAAGTGCAATGTATCTCCATGCAATTTTTTTTAAAGACGTCTCCCTGAATAAACAAGTATACTATCCGATTAGTGTTTTAGTTAGTAATTGTAATCTGATTACAGGAATATAGTAAGGCATTTGTTACTGAAATTAAATAAATGATGTGTTTCTCCTAACCCTGCATGTAACACATAGTTGATATGGAAAAAAAAAACCACACTGTAGCACTCTGTGAGCATGTTCTGTTATATATTTCTTAAGTAAATTCTGAATAAATCTCAGTTACTTCAATTCTCTAAAGTGTATTTCTGTTTAATATTCAGATCACATCCAACACACAGTTTAATGGATTGAAACCGACAGTACATATTCACACTCGATGTTACTTCTTATACAGTGAGTAGTCAATACGATATACCATATGTCATTTTTTTTGATTGATGACTTCCGGTCTGACCTCTGACCTTTCGTGACCTTACCCTTCCCCCTGCGACCTTCACACCCCCCCCTACACACACACATACATGGCACTAACCCGTGACCTTTTAATAATGTCCAGATGTGGAAATCGGCCTATGGGGAATTCCATCGATAACTGATTACCTTTTAATTATCTCAGGTGCAATATGAAAATTGATGGCTGTTGAACTCTGAGCATTGTCAGGTTATAAATGAAGTCATGAGGAATGTTTTTGAACTTTTAATATGCATTTTGAACTCTCACACCCCGGGGTCAGCATCTGCGGTCCACATGTCCGGCTGCATGCTGTGTTATGCTCTCTCTCTCTCTCTCTCTCTCTCTCTCTGGGGTGTGAGAAAGATGTTGGTTTTAAGGATAATATCAAAAATAAGTAAACAATTTGAACAGAACATAGGTGCCTATCACAATATGTGTGTGCACTCACACATAATCTGATGGTTGTATAAAATGATTCTCAGCAGCAACATAAAAAGGATTTAAATAAAATATGTAGCATGACTAATAATGAATTGAGGATAAAACAATAAAAAACTTTTAGCTTAATGAATAATAATCCCCTAATAATCCCCAACCACTTGATTGGCTCTATGACTCTCTCTCCTCTCCACCTGTAGCTAGTGTGTGGTGAGCGCACTGGTGCCGTTGTACTGTGGCTGCGTCGCATCATCCAAGTGGATGCTGCACACTGGTGGTGGTTGAGGAGAGACCCCCCCCCACATGATTGTAAAGTGCTTTGGGTGTACAACAATACACAATAAAGTGCTATATAAATGCATCATTCATTCATTCATATATATATATACATAATGTATATTTGTTTCATGGCACCTTTTTTTATGACTGAAGGCGAGTATCACTGATATACTACTGATGTCTCTAGGAAATTGTTCTTTTTTTCCTAATATTTAACAATTGACTAAAGTCATTCAACATTAC